GCAAAAACTAGCTGGAGACATTTGGTCTGACACTTTCCATGTTCCACCTTTTTAGTGTTGATGTCTGATAAGTAACTTTTAAACTACTTTTTCTTGCTTTATGATAATAAATATGGACCCAAAGTTTGCTCAGAAGTGTTCTTCCCAGAGTCCCTCAGTCCCCTGACATAGACTTTATGTCAAGCCTCTTCATCACACCTCCCTCCTCTGATGACCCCAAACCACTTCACGCGTGCACGCCTGCAGTCCCAGCTACTTGGAAGGCTGAGGCAGGAGGATCACTTGAGCCTAGGAGTTTGAGATTGCACCGAGTTATGATGTCACCACTGTACCTGTACTTTAGCCAAAGCCAGACAGTGAGACTCTGTCGCAAAAAAGAAAGAAAGGAAGGAAGGGTGTGGTGACGTTAAGAGCACTGAAGAAATATAAAGCAGAGTAAGAAGAATGAAAAAGTGAGAATGCAAGCACTTTCTATTATATACTTTCTTGTTTTCCTCAGTAGAATATAAACCTAGGAAGCTATTAATTTTTTCTGTTCTGTCTCTTCTCTATCACCAGTGGTGAAACAATGCATTTGTGTCCTACAAGAAATGTATAGGACAGTGGTTCTCAACCTTCCTAATGCCGTCACCCTTTAATACAGTTCTTCATAATGTGGTGACCCTGAACCATAAAATTATTTTAGTTGCTACTTCATAACTGTAATTTTGCTACTGTAATTAATCATAATGTAAATATCTGATATACAGGATGTATTTTCATTATTACAAAGGGGACCCGATCCACAGGTTGAGAACTGCTGGTATAGGAGAATGGACAAACACTTGGGTGCATCTGCCAAATTCATACTCTATAGCAATCTGGTGAGAAGTGTTTTGCCTTCTTGGTCCTGCCGAAGAAATGTGAAAACTATCAGACAGGTAGCTGTAGAACAAAGCACAAACTCAGAAGCTTCTCAGTTTCCTTTATAAGAGAATTATTTGCAGCCAGGAATTAATAAACCAGCTCTATCCATACCATTTTAGGTTGATGTTAGTTAGCTCAGGCTGCCATAACAATACCACAAACGGGGTGGCTCAAACAACAGAATGTGTTCTTCTACAGTTCTGGAAGCTAAAAGTCAAAGATCAAGGTGCCATCTGGATTGGCTTCTGGTCATGCTTTTCTTCCTTGTTTGCTGATGATTGCCTTTTTCTTATGACTTCACGCGTCCTTTCCTCTGTTTGCATGTTGAGGAGAGAGGGCAACTTCTGGTGTCACTTTTCTTCTTTTTCTTTTCTTTCTTTCTTTTTTAATAATTAGGATACTCATCATTTTAATTTAGGGCCCTACCCTTATGACCTCATTTAACCTTAATTACCTCCAGCATGGAGGTCAAATACAGTCTTCTAATAAGGCTTCAACACACAAATTTGCTTGGGATACAATTCAAGCATAATAGAATCATGTTATTAATTTTACATATCTATTCTGTCTGTCAACACAATTTTTTAAATTCTTTTCAGGTATGGTATTTCCCAGAACTTGTGGGAACCCGGTAGGCTCAGTCTTAGCAAGCCTTGGAAAGCAAGGCAAAGTGAAGAATGGAGACTGCGGGAAAAGACAGTTTTCCCAAGGCTGCAAGCACCCCTGATTATTAACCCTGGCCCATTTGTTTTAGGCTCTTATTAGTTTTTGAATGAGACAAGTAGGGAATGTAGTTAAAGGAAGTTTCTTTTCTACATTGCTTCTTAGTTCAATAAAAGGCACAGGATTACTAGGGAGTAGTAACTAGCTTTATCCTAAGCTCTACCTTTTGCCTTCCTTGGTTAAAGTCTCCTGCTGAGACTATCCAAGGTAAATGATGACATATTTTTATGTGTTCTTGCTCCCTGACAAAGCCTGCCTTCTGTTTAAATTACTCTCACACACAAATTCTAACAATCATAAAGGTATGGCCCATAGTCAATTTTCAAAAACGAACTCAAATCCTTACTTGCCCATCTTGGACTTTATGCAGTAACTACATAATCTGCCCAGGTGATGACAATAATGAGATGAATCTACTTCCCCTTAAGCCAGTGGTTCTCAACCTCCCCTATGCTGCGACCCTTTAATACAGTTCCTCATGTTGTGGTGACCCCCAACCATAAAATTATTCTCGTTGCTACTTCATAACTGTAATTTTGCTACTGTTATGAATCGTCATGTAAATATCTGATATGCAGGAGACCCCCAAAGGGGTCACGACCCACAGACTAAGAACCGCTGCAAGCGCTCTTAGTTGTTACAACGTTATTAAACAGAAATAAAATCTAGAGGCAAACGAAAATGGAGAAATCAGAAACGACACTTTTACCTTATTAAGTCTTTGTAAACTGACAAACACTAACCAGCAGCGTGAGTAGGTGAAAGAGCTGTTGTAAAGCTCCGCCCTCCGTCCTCTGCAGAGATATAAAAACAGAAGCAAAAGCCCCGACTACTACAAGCGGTCCACACACTCGAGCGGACCGCGGCGACTGGAAACCCGGTGCCATTGGCGCTGGCACCTGCTCCAGGAACGCCTCACCACGTTCTGCGCCGAGATCGGAAGTGACGCAAAACTGCGTCGCCGGTGCCTGTCGTCGGCTGCCGCCGGAGCCGGGCATCAGTCTCTCCACAGACGGCGGACTTTTTTCGGATGGTGGCTGCACAGGGATCATGACGGGGAAGAAGTCCTCCCGGGAGAAGCGGCGCAAACGTAGCAGTCAGGAGGCAGCCGCGGCGCTCGCGGCCCCGGACCTCGTACCTGCCCTCGCCAGTAGCGGCAGTGGGAGCACCAGCGGCTGCGGGAGCGTCAGCTGCTGTGGGAACACTAGCTACAGTGGCAGTGTCACTGGCGGTGGCAGCGGCGGCAGCTGTTGGGGTGGCAGCAGCGAGCGGCGGAAGCGGAGGAGCACTGACTCATCCTCCAGCGTCTCCGGCTCTCTGCCGCAGGTGTGTGCGCGCCCCTCTCGCCGCATCCTGCCGCTGCTGTTTTTTTCGGAAGAAGGCTGGCCACCCGACGAGATGGGACACCGGCTGGAGCTCACTAATTAGTGAGGCAATCCCTAGGGGTTACCTAGGCGTGAGGTTCATATGCCTAAGTCCTGACGAACCCTGTGGTCTCAGGTCTCAGTCTCGTTGAAGAGTATGGGTTGGAAGCTAGTTTTCATTGCCCTTGGGAGCCAGGGCTTTGCTTTTCTCTTGGCCTTCACCTTTTAGTAGATTATGGTTAACTCTACATTGCAGGTGAGAAAATTGAGGCCCAAAGAGGGTAAGGAACTTGACCCACACAGAGTTTGTAAATACCTCCTAGACTTGAATTCGGTATTTGACTGTACGAGAGCCATGTTCTTTATGTGACATTAACATGCCAAGATATCATTTTCCTAAACAGTATTTTATAATCTATTATAAAACATAATGAACACATACTTTAAATTCATTCAACACAGAAATCAAGGGAAAGTGTGGAGTCCCTCTTCGTGCTTCTAAATTAATACTTTGATATGCAGCCTCTTTTTATTAGTCCTTGTCAGATCTGTGCACTTAAGTTCCCACACCTAAACTTGTCTTTTCTTTTTATATGTGGTACGTTATTTTTTAGTGACTGCTCGGTATTCCATTATATCTTTTTAGAAATATTTTAAAAACATTTTCTCCATTTTATCTTTATTAATGGATATTTAGGTTTTCAGTTTTTGTTGTTATTACAGTATGAAAACAAACACTTTTGTCTGTCTTGTGCAGGAGTTGTGTTAGGATAATCTCAGAAGTAAAATGACTGGGTTAAAGTTTTTTTTCTTTCTTCTTGAGACAGAGTCTCCCTCTGTCGCCCTCGGTGGAGTGCCATGGCATCACAGCTGACGGCATGGCATCACAGCTGACGGAAACCTCAAACCCTTGGGCTTAAGCAATTCTCTTGTCTCAGCCTCCCAAGTAGCTGGGACTACAGATACCCACCACAATGCCCGGCTGCTTTTAGAGACAAGGTCTCCCCCTAGGTGAGGCTGGCCTGGAATCGGGGTGAGCTCAGGCATTCCACCCACCTCAGCCTCCCAAGTGCTGGGACTACAGGCGTGAGCCACTGTGCTTGGCTAAACCAAACTTCTTAATGAAAAATAAATACATTTATGAAGAAAAAAAGTCATTGCATATTAGGCACGTTGGTAACATCTCACTCTTTTGAGAGTGCCTTTTATCTCGTTTATTGAGTTCTCCATTTTTTGGTAAGAACTTTATTGAAATTTTTTATAACATACAATTCACCCATTTCATATGTAAAGTTAAGTGGTTGGGGTTGTACAACTCTAACTACAGACAATAAAATAAAATATTTTCATCACTCCAAAAAGAAACATTATGTGTACCTTTTAGTTATCATTCTTAATACTCAACTCACACCCTGCTCCATTCCTAGGTAACCACTGATTTATTCCTTGTCACCACAGATTTATAGTATTTCCCTGTTGCATATTGTATATGAATATAATCATATAATGTGTAGTATTTTGAGTCTGGTTTATTGCACTTAGCATAATGTTTTTTTTTTTTTTTTTGAGACAGAGCCTCAAGCTGTCCCCCTGGGTAGAGTGCCGTGGCATTACAGCTCACAGCAACCTCCAACTCCTGGGCTCAAGCGAGTCTCTTGCCTCAGCCTCCCAAGTAGCTGGGACCACAGGCGCCCGCCACAACACCCGGCTATTTTTTGGTTGCAGCCGTCATTGTTGTTTGGCGGGTCCGGGCTGGGGATTCGAACCCGCCACCTTAGGTGTACGTGGCTGGCGCCTTAGCCGGTTGAGCTATAGGCGCTGAGCCTAGCATAATGTTTTTAAGGTTTATCTGTGTTATAGCACACAGGTTCATGCTTTTTTTATGGCTGTGTAATATTTTAATGTATGACTATACCACATTTTGTTTTTTCATTTATCACTTAATAGACATTTGGGTTGTTTCTCCCTTTTGCTATTATGACTAATGCTTCTGTGTACATTTGTGTGTAAATTTTTATGTGGACATATGGTTACATTTTTCTTGGGTATATATCTAGGAATAGAATTGGTGAGTCATATGATAACTTTTTGAGGAATTGACAAACTGTTTCCTTTCCAAAGTAGCTGTACCATTTTATGTTCTCTGTAGCAATGTATAAGGATTCCATTTCTCTACATCATTATGTTGTAAGCCATTAGAATAAGACTTAACCTTTAGTTTTTCAGCCCAATCATCATAGTATTCTTTAAAACTGGCCCATTTTTAGACTACTTTTCAAACAGTTACATAAAACAGGTCTGTCCTGATTTTTGAATTGTTACCTGGAGCGTCTGAATTTGTTTTTAATCTTGTAACTATAGTCGGGTAGAGGAAAGAAGGAAGAAGGACTGTTCTAAGCAGAAGAAAGTTAGCTCGTATGAGCTGACGGGAGGAGAACGGGTTATATTTGAGTAGTTCAAAGTTTGTTGTGTCCAAAATACAAAGATTGAGCATGAAGGGCCAGGTAGGCAACATTACCGTAGAGCAGGCATCCTCAAACTATGGCCCCGGGCCACATGCAGCTGGCCTAGGACATTTATCTGGCCCGCCGGGTGTTTTTGCCGCCACTGCCTGTCCTGCTTAGCAGCTGGCTCGTCTGAGGGCCCACAGTCAGGCCCTCCACTGGTCTGAGGGACAGTGAACTGGCCCCCTGTTTAAAAAGTTTGAGGACCCCTGCCCTAGAGCAATAAGAAGTCATTGAAGGGTTTTAAACAAAAAGGATGAATAAATAAGCATTTTATAAAATGTATTTTGCTAACAGAATATAAAACAGACCTCATATTATATGCATGGAGTCTAGTTAAATGGCTAATCCACAAATCATGGTAGTTTAGACCAGGATTATGATAATAAATTGGAAAGGACAAGATAAATTTGGAAAATTGAAGGTAAAACTGACAAAAATGTCTTAAATTACTGATATTACATGGTTACTTTGAACATGATTAAATTATATAGATTTTTTAAAAATTGTAATAGCTCCTGGAAAGCACATTACAATGTAATATTTGTGATTTGTAACAGTTTTACGTCCATTTCTTTATATGAATTTAAGTAGAATGACAAGGCATACATAAAGCTTTGGGGTGAATGAGTACCTGAAGGCATGTCCTGTTTCTTCAAAAGTCTAAAATTATAGGCAGTTATTCAATATTGACTATATTTTCATTTGTTTGTTGTAAGATATCATCTCTTCCCTTGACAGTTACTCCTGAAGTTAATTGAAGTAATCAAAGATTACTGAGTAATAAAATATTCTTTCTCTGGTTTTAGACAAATAACTGTGCAAACAAAGAATTTGGAAATTTTTAATGAATTTATTAAATGAAAATTATGATGTTATATATTCTGTATATCTTAAGTAGCGTTATTTAGTGGCTCTTTATTCTTTTGACTTTAGGAAACCAAGTATCTTTTGCCAGCTTTGGAAAAAGAACTATTCTTGGCAGAGCACAGTGACCTTGAAGAAGGTGGACTGGACCTGACTGTTTCATTGAAGCCAGTTAGTTTTTATATATCCGACAAAAAAGAAATGCTTCAACAGTGCTTCTGTATTATAGGAGAGAAGAAGTTAAAGAAGATGCTTCCTGATGTGTTAAAGGTACTTTATCACATATTTTGTCTGATTATACCACATGTAAGAATACCACCTTCTTTGTAGCAAGCACTTAAAGAGTTTATAATCAGATGTTTTCATCCAGGTTACTTGAAAAGTTATTTTAAAAAAGGATTTTAGAGAACCACATACCTTTGTATATTTAAAAATTTGCCAAGAAAAATTTTTAGGCAAGAGATTTATTGACTCTATAGAAATAATTCTATTAAATTTAGGCAATAGTAGCAACTAAATTGGAGATATAATGAAGATTTCTGGTGTTTTAAGAAATTATGTAACAATAGGCTGCTCTGTAAATAAAACACAACAGTGGTTGACAGTAGCTTATAGTTCTTTATAGTTCTTTACAGTTCTTTATAGTTCTTTTATAGTTCTTTACAAGTGTTTTTATATATTTATTTCTGAAAATTATTTAGGGAAGTGTATGTTATTCTAATTTTATAGTTGTGGTTATAGGGCCTTGGACAAGTTAAGCCCAAAATCTTATATAGCAAATAAACCTCCCTAGTTGACCACCTCCTTAAGTTGACCTAATTTTCATAGAATGGCCATGTGCTACATGTACATATCAATACAATAGGCCTAGTTCCTGTCGTTGTCCACCTCTATATGTTGGTTAGCTTGTTAGAGTCCCTTGGGTGGTCAACTTATAGAAGTTCTACTTTATCTAATATGTATAAAACTAGGACTTGAATATTTAAACCTTTAGAATAATTACCTAATATAAGTAGGCTACTTATAATAATATCTGGGAAATTGACTCACTCTTTAGTTTGTTCTTTCATAAAAGACATGACTTTGGCTTGGCGCCTGTGGCTCAAGCGGCTAAGGTGCCAGCCACATACACCTAAGGTGGCGGGTTCAAATCCCCAGCCCGGCCCGTCAAACAACAATGATGCCTGCAACCAAAAAATGGCTGGGTGTTGTGGTGGGCGCCTGTAGTCCCAGCTACTTGGGAGGCT